AAAATTTCTTCTTCGACCAAACTAAAACAAGATGAATGAATAAAATAATTTTACATTTTTTTTTTACCCAGATATGTATCATCATCATCATCAATCCAATACATCCTCTTCGTCTTTGTTTTTCTTTCTATGATTTTTTCGTCATCATCGTTCGAGGATTACCGCGATGTTGATGTTGATGATGATGATGATGATGATGACACAGCATGATGCCCGGAAAATTAAACTTTTCTGAAATTTAATAGACTTTTTGTTTTTTGTTTTTTCTGAATTCATTTTCATATTGCGAAAATTCAACAAAAAACAAAACAAAAAATTCTGCCATATCCAAATGCAAAGCGGAACAAGAGAAAAAAGATTCATTTTTTCAAGAGAGAGAAAAAAAAACAAGCCTAATCAAACAAATAATATCGATTACCAAAAACAATCAAAATCGATTCAAGTCAATCAAATACAAGCAAATCATACGAACAAACAAACAAACAACCTTATAACATGATATTTAATATTAAAAATGAAATTAAAAATCACACAAAAAAGTGATTAATCAAAATCTACTATTATTAACCCCTCACCCCCTCATCTAAAGATTGATGATGACATTTTAGACCACAGAATACACATACACACTGCACACACACACGAAGAAATATTGAATAATTTTTCTTCAAAAATGTTGTACGTGGCAACGATTGGTACGTGGTGTGTGTGTTTGGATTATTTATATTCAATTAGCGAAAAACGAAACAAAACAAAAAAGTTTTTAAATAAAGTTTGGAAACAAAAACAAAAAAATTTAATATAAAAATTGTCAATGATAAATCCCTTTTTTTTTGTTTTCTATTTCATTTTTCTCGCTTTGATAGAAAGAAACAATAAGGATTTTGACTTTTTAACACACACACAACCCAAAAATGGTTTTGGTTTTTTGGGTTTTGCACGTGTCTCTCTTCCTATACTTACACATTTAATCAAGTTATATTTGGGAGAAAGAAACAAAAAATTTATTATAATACCAGCAATTTACATGCAACTATCAACCAACCAATGTCAACTTTTAGATTGGTTGGTTGGCTGTTGGTAATTTATAACCAACAAAAAAAAAAACAAAATAGTTGTCATCATCAATTCTATTTTTCCTATTCTTTCGGAACAAATATTAATTTCTATATAGCCAAAATCAACAGTAAAAGTTGCCCGAAATGAATGAATGAATGAATGTGACAGAATCCATAGGCCTTGAAAATATAGACTTAATATGGATGAAAATTGGTATGGATTATGTAAAAAAAAAGAAGAAAAACATTAATTTCATTCGTTGATGCTCATTTGATGATGATGATGTTTGTTTGTTTGCTCTTAATAAAACAATTTTAATCTCATTTCCGTTATGATTTTGATTCAGATTCAGTGAAAGTGAATAAGTGAATGAGGGTAGTACGTTATTAAATTAACACAAATCAGAATCAGAATCAAATTATTATTGAAAGGAAAAAGGAATGAAAAAAACGATAAATAATAATATGGATGGATGGATGGATGAAGGAAGGGAGAGAAAAACGATTAAATTGACAACGATTCTTTTTTATTATTAAAAAAAAACCAATGACTAAACTATCATCAAATCTCATTGAATATTGAATCTGGAATCTGAAAATCAATATTGGATAGGAGGCAAAAAAATCTAATAAAATGAATGATCTAATGGGAATAATTTAATAAAATGTAAATTTTCAACTTTATTAATCAATATAACACACACACACTATACTGATATAACACACTGACATCAATGACAATCAATTTAAACACGATGCTATTCCGGTAACACAACTGATATTCATTTATATTAAATAAATTTATCACACACACACAAAATTCAACATTAAACGACAAATTAGAAAACTGAAACTGGAAATAAATTACAGAGAAAAAAAGCCAAAAGAAGCTATTTTTTTAAATGAATGTTACCTTAGTTAATCCTCAATTAATTTCTCTCTCAATATTTTTTTGCTTTGCAAATCAAGAATATATTCTCTCTTGCTCGCTTTATCTCAATCTCAATATAGGAAAAGTGAAAAGTGAAAGAAGAAAAGCATTTTTCATATCCTGTTTCTGATCAGTATTGTCCATATTGCATATCTTTCACACAAACACATCATCCTCATCATCATCATCAATCGGAATTCATTCATCCATCGAATTGACTTTTCTGCAAACAAAAATGAAAATGAAAAATTTTATAAATGAAAATTCTCATCAACAAATATGGAATATGGATGTTTGTGTGTGATGGGTGATTGAACGAATCATCATCAACAACAAAAGTGAAATAAAAATGGACACGTACCGTGTGTGTTTTAACATTACATTTATATTAAAACTACATAATAAAATGAAATGAAAAAGAAAAAATCTAAAAAGCCGGATCTAATGTCAAAATCCATATAGAACTTTACTCTGTCTCTGTGTGTGTGTGTCCATTGTGTTAAATGTTTATAATGTGATTTGATTTTAATGTAGATTTGGTGTTAATCAATGGACATCAATAGTATATCTACCAGATAGACATATAGACATACACACAGTAAGTGGTCTTTCGACATTGATCCATTTGACTATATGATATGAAATCGAATCAACAACAACAACAGAAAAGTGATGGATAGATTAACATTGAAACCAAACAAACAAACCAATCAATAAATTTCATATCATGATGATGATGATAATAATAAAGCTAATAACATTGATTGGTTGGATTTGTGTTACCCATTATTCATTTTTTTCTTTGTTTTGGATATATAAATAAATCAAAATCACGAAATCAAAATGAAAACATTATATATTTGTTTTATAAACAAAACAAAACTAACCCATATATAAAAATAAGCATCAATTTCCTACTGTTTTTGTTTTTGTTTATGGAATATAAACAAACAACAGAATTCTTACCCAGTGGAAATTAAACCATTCTCTCTCTATCTCTCTCTCTCTATCCACCCGCACTTTTCAATTCAAAAAAATCATTAAACAATGAAAATTGTACAGAGAAAATGAAATATTTTGCATACAACCAAACCAAACCAGTCGTAATACAAAAGACAAAAGACAAATTCATTCAGTCAAAACTAAAAATATTATTATTGTTATAATATCATTGCTACATGCATAACAACTGACTTTTTGCAAATTTTTTTAAACAAAAAAAAATTTTCAGTGTGTGTGTGTGAATGAGAGAGAAACATAGAGAATATGAATGAAACGAAACGAAACAAAACAGACAAAAATGTAATGAAACGAAAAAATGATTGATGAGGATCAAGCCTCATAGTCATTTATAGAGAGTGAGAGAGAATATTATCATTCGGGTCTTCTGGTAAGTTGGCAAAACAAAAAATAAAATTAAAGAATGGTTATAGGCAGGGAAGAAAAAACAATCGTAACAACAATAAATGAAATGATTTTAAAATGAAATAAATTATTTAAAAAAAATAATGAATGAATGAATGAATATTTCTAACCAAAGTGAATGAAAAAGTCAAAAACTGAGAAATGATCATCATCGAGGAAAAGATGATGATGAAGAAGAGACAATTTAACAATGGGAAAACAAAAACTGAAAACAAATGAATTGAAATGAAAATGGACAAACCGCATTGTGAATTGGTTGGTGGGTGGGTGGATTGGACGAACGATCAGTGAATAATGAATGGTTTATTAATTTCCATTTTTTTTCATCATCATCATCATCATCATTAGATTCAGGGTAATCAGAGTGGCAGGGTAACAAAAAGAAGCATAATGATAATTTATAGCTTTTTTTAAACAAAATAATAAAAACTTTTTTTTTACAAACGGATCGATTGAATATCATCATCATCATCATCATAAATGTCATTGTGTTGTTCAATGATGATTACCACCACTATTTCGACAACTTTATGATTGATTCGAATATGATTTCCCTTGCTTCCAATAACGTTCGAATAATTCTTTACATTCGAATTCAATTCGATTCAATTATCGATTAAATTGTGTTGAAAGAAGAAAAAGAAGAAAATGATGATTATAAAGTTATTATTATTATTTGGCCATTACGAATTTGTCGATTGGTGAGGTGGGGAGATTTTTACCGACCCGAATAAAAATTGAATTAAACCTAATTATTTATTAAGAATCAATTTGATTTGGTTAGAATGAGAGAGAGAAAAAAAAGAAAGAAACACAATACATACGAACACATTAACATTATAATTCAATTTAATGGCCAAACGGGAAAAAAACGATAATTCAATATTTTTTTGGTTCAAATTTCCCAAAAAAAAAAATCCAAATCGATACATGATTTAGCACTTTATTAACCAATAATCAACCAAAATCGCCCGGAGATTCAAAATTGAATACAAAAAAAAACTAAATCAAATTTTCTTGATTCAATTTTCTTGTTGATAATCGCTGGACCAAACAAAACAAAACGAAACTTTGATCACAATTAAGATAAAAAGACCCTCGTGGATTAATTTGTTCGAATTTCGAATCAAAGGAAAAAAAGAATCCCAACAACGATTGCCATCTATCGATTCGAATGGAAATGATTTTTTTCAACGTCACACAATTATTGCTGCTAGCATTTTATATAACAGTTATATACACACACAATGTTCCTGAAAATGTTGTTGGCCTTTCGAAATATCCCTCTATTTCTTTTACCTCGAGATTTTTTTTTTGTACTTTTCACAATACTACTACCTTTTTTTATTTATCATCATTTTTTTACCTTGATAATAGTATGTATATATGTATGCGGATATATATACAAAGTTCAGCCGTCTGTATATCCAGACAGGAGATTATTTTTGTGTGTGTTTTCGTCATCGTCGTCGTCGTTTGTTTTGTTTGTTGTTGATTACCGAGTTACTCATTTTCATGTTGTTTTTTTTTTAAATCCCGATATTTCTGTCATAAGATTTTCTTTTCTTTTTTTTGAATGTGATGATTATAGATTCATTGATTGAATAATCATCATTAGTATTCGTATTTATATTTTGTAGTTTGTATTGAAACGGTTTTGTTTTCTTTTTTCTTTTTTTTTGGTGAAAAAAATTGATAAATTCATCGGGTTTAGATTTATGGTTTTCTATTGAATTTCAATTTTTTTTGATGATTTTTTTATTCGTATGATGAGCTTTAAGCAACAAAAAGACGTCAAAATGAGAATTCGATCTTTTCCGGTATGTAGTATATTTTGCTGAAGATTTTTATTCAATCGAAAAAATAATCAATTTTTCAACAAAAAAAAATCTAGACAACAATGGACGAAAGATATGTCAACACTATCTGGATACGATTAAAGACGGCCATTCAAGAGATACAGAAAAAGAATAATAGTGGTCTTAGTTTTGAAGAATTATATCGTAATGCATATACAATGGTTTTACATAAATATGGTGAACGTCTTTATACTGGTCTTCGTGATGTAGTCAAAGAACATTTAGTTAATAAAGTTCGAATGGATGTATTGAATGCACTTCCTAATAATAATTTTCTACAAGTTTTAAATCAATGCTGGAATGATCATCAAATATCGATGACCATGATACGTGATATACTTATGTATATGGTATGTGTTTTTGTTGTTGACATTGAACAATTATCATTATTTTTTTTTTAATTTTTTGTTTGTTTGTATAGGATCGTGTCTATGTAAATCAGAACAATGTTGACAATGTATATAATTTAGGTTTAATATTATTTCGAGATAATGTTGTTCGACATGGACCAATTCGTGATCAAATAAGAGAAACATTATTAGATTTAGTTATGAAAGAACGTAATGGTGAATTAATTGATCGATTAGCAGTGAAAAATACCTGTAATATGTTAATACATTTGGGTCTTTCACAACGAACTGTTTATGAAGAAGATTTTGAAAAACATTTTCTACAACAATCAGCCGAATTTTATCGTGTTGAAAGTCAAAAATTTTTGGCTGAAAATAGTGCTTCTGTTTATATTCGTAAAGTTGAACAACGTATCAATGAAGAAGCTGAACGTGCACGTCATTATTTGGATGCATCAACCGAAAGTGTTATCGTTAAAGTTGTTGAACAAGAATTGATTAGTCGTCATATGAAAAATATTGTCGAAATGGAACATTCAGGCGTGCTGCATATGTTAGAAAATCAAAAGATTGATGATCTAGCCCGGATGTATAAACTATTTAGCCGTGTTGAAAATGGTTTAACAACAATAATTACAGCTGTTAGTAATCATCTAAGGCAAGAAGGTAGATCTTCAGTATCGGATGATGGAAATAAAGAAGATCCTATTGCATTTGTAACTGTATGTAATTCTTTTCGATTAATAATGATTATGATTAATTTTTTTCTCTTTAATTCATTAGGCTTTACTCGATTTAAAAGATAAATATGATATATTTTTAAATTGTTCATTTTTTAATGATAAAGAATTTCTTAAAATGATTGGCAAAGATTTTGAACATTTTCTAAATTTAAATCAAAAATCACCTGAATATCTTTCATTATTTATTGATGATAAATTAAAAAAAGGTGTAAAAGGAATGGCCGATCAAGAAATTGAACAAATACTTGATAAAACAATGGTACTATTTCGTTATATACAAGATAAAGATATATTTGAACGTTATTATAAACAACATTTGGCTAAACGTTTATTATTGAATAAAAGTTCATCGGATGATCTGGAAAAAAGTATGATTTCAAAATTGAAAACCGAATGTGGTTGTCAATTTACATCGAAATTGGAAGGAATGTTCAAAGATATATCATTATCAAATTCATTAAATGATGAATTTAAAAATCATGTTCTCAATCATAGAGTAAGTTTAATTTTTTTGTTTTAAAAAGATTTCTTAAATTATTTTTTTTCCCAAATTAGCTCAATTTACAAGGTGTTGATCTTACTGTACGTGTTTTGACAACGGGTTTTTGGCCAACACAATCAAATTTTTCAAAATGCAATATTCCGATGATTCCACGACAAGCTTTTGAACATTTTATCAAATTTTATTTGGATAAACATAATGGAAGAAAATTAACATTACAACCACAACTTGGTTGGGTCGATTTGAATGCCGAATTCTATACAACAGCGAAAAAATCCAACACTAATAATGATACTACCAATAAAGATGAAATAAATTTGGACAACACTGTTTCATCATCAGCATCGAATGCCAATATTGTTAATAATGGATCATTAGCATCATCATCGACGACACAATTCATAATAAAACCAAGAAAACATATATTAAATGTATCAACCTATCAGATGGCTGTTTTAATGTTGTTCAATAATCGTCAAAAATTAACCTATGAGGATATTCGTAATGAAACCGATATACCACCGAAAGATTTGATTCGTGCACTACAATCATTGGCCGTTGGTAAATCATCACAACGTGTTTTATTAAAAAATCCAAAGACGAAAGAAATTGGTAAATTTTTTTTTATAATATTTTTCACTTCTCGATTCTCATTTAATGATTATGATTATTTAGAGGCTAATCATGAATTTGAAGTTAACGATTCGTTTACATCGAAATTTTTCCGTGTGAAAATTCATTCAGGTAAAGAAAAAGAATACCATAAACTATGTTTACTGATTATTATTTTTTCCAAAAAAAAGTATTGGCAAAAGGTGAATCTGAGCCCGAACGACGAGAAACACGATCGAAAATTGATGAAGATCGTAAACATGAAATCGAGGCCGCTATCGTACGAATAATGAAATCTCGAAAAAAATTATGTTTTGCTAATATTGTGGCCGAAGTAACCGAACAATTAAAATCTCGATTCATTCCGGATCCACAATCGATTAAAAAACGTATCGATGGACTAATTGATCGTGAATATTTGTCCAAAACACCTGATGATAAGTAAGTGATTTTATCTGATTTCATCATTCAATTTTTTAATGTTTTTCATTTTGTTTTTATTCTCTTTTCGAACAAAACACAGAAAAGTGTATACATATGTGGCGTAAACATGATTATTTTTTTTCATATTAATAACTTTAGAACATCTTTATATCATTCTTTTACAAATAAAAAATTAAAAAAAAATTTCAATTTTTCAATCCGAATCTTCGGAATCATATTTTTGATAAAATTTTCTTGATGCATGCATTTTTTTCCGAGGATCTTCTTCCAATTCTGTTTTGATGGCACCAGTTTTGGCTATAATCCATTCAACTTCTGTAAAATAAAATCAATCTTTATGAATTTGTTCATTAATGGATTTTTATGATTGAAATACCTTCTTTGGTGATGGATTCCATACCGAATACAATCGGTCCAATCAATTGTTTGACTAGTTGACCATTCAGATAGACAAAAACGGCTGGCAGGTTATCTTCTGGAAAATTTGGTATACATTGTGTAGCAATACTTTTCAGAAATTTCGTCTCAACAAATTTGGATGCTAATTCTTTAAAAAATTCTTGTAATTGTCGACATAATGTATGCCTTTAATGGATTGAATAAGATTGGATAAACACAATAAAAGTAAATAAATGATAAAACTCACCCTTGACGATACAGTAATAGTACTACCCAAATACCATCGCCTGCTTTATTCACTTCTTGAATATAATCAGCAGCGCTTATTTCCAATACATCACCAAAACATTTTTTCGATCCTTTTAATTGCATTTCCATAACACGTTTTTGACGATAATTTCGTATAAAATCATCATCATCTTCATGTTCATCAAGCCATTCTAGTTCATCATCACTATTGGATGGTTCAAATTTTTTCGTTTCAACAATTTCTGGTGGTTCTTGTTCTTCAATTTTTGGCTCATCTTTGATGATACCATATTTTTTCAATGCCTCAGTCCATTCTGTATCTTCCTATTTGCAAATAAACAATATCATCAAATTTAATCAAATTTTGCAATAAATAAAATCTTTACCATCATTTCAATAATTGATTGGAGAAAAAATCGTTAACCTAAATACTACACACCAAAGCAAACAGGCGTTGGTTTACAAACGAAATCGAGGAAATAATACTGATCAGAGAATATCGTTAAAAATAGAATATTTTTGCCATGATGCGCTGCAGAAGAATTGCAAAAATATCGATTCTATCGCGATTCCATAACAATCGACTTTTTTTTGTGTGTGTTCGAATCAATCGAATGGCGCCACATTAATTAAATCAAAAAAAAAAACATTTAGATTTTTAATTTGAATTTTAATGATTGCTATTAACTCAATTTAATTATCATTTTAATTAGAAAAATACCGGCACAAACCAGTCATCATTATCATGTGAATGGGTCAGTTTAATTATCTTTTACTAAAAAAAAAAAATCTCATTTCCCTTTTTTTTCGTAAATAGCTTTCACCTGACCACTTATAATGACGATGAAAAAGTCCTTTAGTGAGTGTTTTATAGAAAAAAAAGAAAAGAAAAGTCTATGCTAACATAGCATCAACGACCACGAACAACGATTATTTTTATTCAACAAACTATTGAAGCAAGCTAACAAACAAGTTTGATTGTCATCGAAATTATTGGAACGTGGAAAAGGCATACACACACACAGGCAAGCACTTAAATACATGGATTTAAAGATTGGATTTGGACCATGAGAAAATAAAACGTAAAACGTTCTCATTTTTTTTGTTCATAATTTTAACAGATGATCTCTCTTTTTCGAATTTACTTTCTCTTTCTCACATCGTCAGAAAGAAAGAAGAAATGAAAAAAATGCATAACATAGTTTCATTTGAGCAATTTTATCGTCATCATCATCAACTAAGACGTGAATATTGTCACCAATTAAACATTATTATTATTGTATATAATAATTTTTTGTTTGGTCATTTCATTTATCTTGTCAAACAAACAAAACAAAACAAAACAAAGAAATTATTATTGTTCCGCACTCGAATGAATTGTTGTTCGTTTTTTCACCAGGTATGATTTTCATTCATTGTGTTTTTGATGAATGAATGGATGAATGAAAAAAATCCAATAATCGTTGATCAATTTTGAAGATATCTTACAAACATCCAATCATTTTATTTCCGAAGACGACGACGACAACAACAACAACGACGATCACCCGGAAAAATAATTGATAATGATGATGAATCGAACATTGGCCAATAGTTTTCATGAACAATTAGATTCAATAAAATCAACTAGCCTACCACAGATGAAACATTTTATACAAAAGTAAGTGAATTTGATTTTGTTTTTTCAGAGAAAAAAAAAGAACTCGCATAATTTACTTTAATTTACAGAAGAATAGCTAAATGTAAAATTCCAACGATTAATCGTATGATGAAACGATCATTGATTATTGGTTATTCATCGAAAAATAATGTTGCCAAACATAACGAAAGTGATTATGAATTTGGTTGGGGTTCAGATTTCGATGATGATGATGATGATCAGGATTTTGTTGTCGATGATGATATTGTGATGGATGATGATGAACTCTCCGACCCAAATCAGGTAATTTAACAATTTTCATCAAGCTATTATAATTTTATATGTCTAAATATTACAAATGTGTAGGATGATGATTTACAATTCAATGATGAAAATGGTAAAGAAAAAATTCAAAATACATCATTAAGGTATGATTGATTTTTAATTACAAAAAATATAATAAAAATAGAAATTACTCAAATTAGACAAACAAAACGACCAATTTCGGATCCACCACCACCACCTTTACCAAAATGTCCACCTCCAGATTTGATTGAAGAAACAACTATTCCATCTAATTCAGATACAAATTCCTATGAAACATTATCGATAACGACAACAATAATGGATAATTGTTTACCACGTATTGATAAAAATGATTATCTAATACCAAATATTTCATCATCATCATTAAAATCATTCGATAAAATTAAATTAAATTATCGTTCTAGTCCAAATATTTCATCAGTAACAGATCGTCCATTACCACCAATACCAAAATATGAATACAATTTAATGAATGATGATGATGAAATGTTTAAAAATTATCAATGGTTTCAAGATATTGAACGTGATGATGCAGAAAATCTATTAATTCGTCATTATAATATTGATGGTGCATTTTTGGTACGAAAAAGTAAACGTGCCGGTATCTGTATGCCATATACATTAACATTATATTTTAATCATCGTATATTTCATCTAAATATTCGTATACGTTCCGATCAACAATATGCATTAGGAACGGAAAAATTAAGAGAAAAAGTTTGTATTTCAATCAATCAATTATCCTTTATTATAATAATAATCATCATAATCATTGTTTTTGTTTTTCAAAAAATAGACATTTCAAACGATAGCCGATCTGATTGAACATCATTATCAGGAACCAATTTATTTAACATCAAGAGGTAAAATTATCTGATCCTTGATCTGTTTTTTTTCTAATTTTCAATTAAAATTCAATTTAGGAATGATTGCTGGTAAAACTACATTGATTTCGATGCCATTTGGTTACCAATAAACATCATTCATTCATTCATTCATTCAATTGATCATTTCCGTTGTAAACATAATAATGATTTCATGTGATAATGACGACAATCTTTTTTTTTTTTGCTATATATTTAATTTCCTTTGATTTGATTATACAACGAGCAACGACGACAACAACAACAACAACAAAATGAGTGCTTTCGACCCACAATTGAATGTTTGTTTGCTGTTTGTTTATTTATCTTATGAACATTTATTCTCAAATATTTTCCAATGTTAATGAAGAAAGAAAAGAAATGATAATGACAGCATATAATAACAACGATAACAACGATGAATTTACTACCTATGAATATCATGTTCAAGTAATCGAAACGGATGCATCAATACGATGTGGCCTTAAACCATTCACCATATATCAATTGATTATTGAAACAAATCGATTACAATTGATGAAAAATGATCATAATAATCATACGATTTTATTTGAATGGCCATATAAATATGTAAGACGTTATGGTTATACAAGTAATAGTATATCATTTGAAGCCGGATCTAAATGTCAGACTGGTGAAGGATTATTTATATTTCGTAATAAAAAATCCAAAATTTTATACAATCAAATTACCAACAATATTGATAAGATCAAACGACAAAAAAAATCATTGTTGATTGTTGATGAGGATGTTATTGTTGTTGATGATGATGATCGAAGAAAATCCAATCTAATTGAACAAAAACAAGAACAAATACCACATCTAATAATAAATGATTGTCCATATGCACAGGTCATTAAAAGTGACAAAAAAGATTCTTGTTTTGTTTGAATAATAAAATTTTTTTTTTAAAGAAATTTTTCTTGTTTTTTTTTTTTTGAATTATAATTAGTTTAGAATTTACGAACATTGTTAGGCCCTGCAAATATTCGACATTCGATTGTCGAATAACAAATTGAGCTTGAATCTTTTTATTTGTCATTTAAATGCGTTGAATTTTTTTCTACAAAATAAAACAAAAACAAAATTTCAGAATTTGGCAACGATTCAAACAAACATCCTAAGGATTCTTCTTTTCTCTTGTTTAATTAAAAGTTTAATGCGCAATCAAATTTGAAAAACAAAAAACACACTGAAAAGACTACCGTACTTTGAACCATTTTTCATTTTGGGAATAATAATAATGTAAGTTCAATATATTTGACCAGCATCAGCAGAAAATAAAATTGATGTTAATCAATAACAAAAAAAGTGACAATTTCCTTATCATCAATCGATTATTGAAATGAATTATTGAAATGAATGTATGTCGTTGTAATGAACATCATGTTTTTAGTTGTTGTATTATCATCACCCCCACTACGAGAGAAAAAAATAATCAAAATTTGTTAATGATGATATCATTTTATCCATTTTTTCAAAAAAAAACATGATTGTATTCATGTAACTAAGGATTGAACATTTTTATGGGGATGATAAGTGAGGCCATTAGCTAGTATTTTTGCTTTTCTGGTGTTGGTAGTATTCAATGATAAAGATATCATTCGTTTTTTTTTGGCTTCTTCGATTATCATCATATCGAGCAAACGAACAAACAAACGAACGAAAAAACCACTAATTGAATTCAATCATTTTTTTTCATTTCTTTCTTTTTCAGCCAGCCAACCAAAAGTGTAAACACCAAAAACATGAATTCGATTGTATTGTTTTCAGCCATATTTTTACTAACATTTTCCGGTTCCTGTTTGGCCATTCTTGGTAATTGATTAATTTGACTTTTGATTTTTGATTTTTGATAATTTTTTTTAAATCCACGATTCATCTAAAGATGCATTCTCATCATCATTGGATGGTTCGAATGGTGGATATTCATTACCGAAAAGTGTCAACAATTATGAACTTCATGATTCATGTTTGATTGAATTACGAAAACAAATGAATCTGGAAAAACATGCCAGTTTAGTTTATAAACAAATGGCATTTCATTTTGGCAGTGTAAAAGTTGTACGACCTGGATTTGCAAAAATTTTCGAACATCATTCAAATGAAGAACATGAACATTCAAATAAATTTATTAAATATATTGATTTACGTGGTGCTACAATCGATAGTTTTAATATTACTGTAAGTTTGTTTTTTTTGTTCGGGTAAATCGATAATCATTCAATAATTATTTTTCCTTGCTTGAAAAGATGCCCCAAAAAACATCATGGACAAGAGTTTTGGAAGCAGTTGAAGATGCAATCGATTTAGAACATTATGTTACAAATGAAATTATCCGTATACATCGTATTGCTGAAAAAACATGCAAAGATATTCATGTAAATTTTAATTTTAAATCCCCTTGTTTTTACTCAGTGTTAATTAATTCAATTTTTTCCAAAAATTTAGCTTATGAATTTTCTTGAAAATGATTTTATTGATGAACAAATATCATCGATTAATAAATTAATGAAATTGGCAACATTATTACGATCAATTGGTAACGATGGTTATGGTGAATATCTTATTGATCGAGATTTTTTTAACGGAAAATTATCATTAGACGAACTTTGAAGGACAAATACCGTCGTATAACGCCCATCGATTTCATACTTCTTTAAAAAAACAAAATATTAATATTCTTATTTTTACCTGTTCTTGTTGTTTAGATCAATTGACCTTTATTAATTCAAAAAAAAATAAAATATTATTATTGATTAATCGATTGATCGATTTTCATAATAATAATAATGAAACAAATAAAAAACCGCGTGACAAATTTTGTTGCTGTTGTTTCCTTTTTTTTCTTTCTAATTTCAATGAATGAATGAATGCATAACAAATACAAATTAGACACCTGAATAGATTAATTGAAATAAAAAAATCAATCAATCAATCAATCAACAGATCGATCGATCGAAAAAAACATTATAGAATTCAATATCAAATAATCATTTGACATTCGTATTTCAATCAAATCTGTATATGTAACCTATTTAATAGTAAAGCTTTTTTTGATGGTCAATATGGGTCATCCATCATCATTATCATCATCATCACCATCATCATTATTATTGATTACATCATTATTTATGATTATCATAATGATTGATTTACCTGGTTCAACATCATTTACAATGAGAATCGGTATGAATCATTTAATGGTGATTTTGTTTTAAAAGAGTTTATTCTTTTCATTTTTTTTTTGTTTTGTTGTTAGCATTCATATTTGATCAAACAAATTCATCGATAATGACAGAATTTGAACAACATCTTCGACAATTCAATCCGATTAATGAAACAATTTCATTTAATTTTGATTATTATAATCGTTTGGAACAATTTGTAAATGAAACCGAAACAGATTGTCCATATTCATTTATAATGGCAATAACATCATGTGAACAAAATTCTCAATTATATCGTCATATTCGAATACATTGTTATGAATCAATATTGTTTACATTTTTTGAATCAATTTGTGAACGACCACCAAAAGATATTGGATTCGGTATACCGAATATTCGTTCAGTTGATAAAATTTTACCATTAATTTATGATGTTGGTCTTGTATTACCGGATTCATCTAAACAAATTATTATTCTTTATGAAAATAATTTAGGTATTTTATTGTTTTTTTTAACTTGATTAATTCAGTGATTGTTTCATTTATTATTATTCAAAGATTTATATGATTTTCATCAATATTTTCATAATTCAATGACAACAAATACATTGGAATATAGTTTAGAACATGAAATCAATACAAATGAACATTTAACAAAAACAAATGATGAAATTATTAATAGTTTTAATCAAGATAATAATAATAATAATAATGAATCACCACCAACATTTTTTATTGTTATTGGTCGAATGATTTTATTGGAAAAAATTATACATAAATTAAAATTATCATCATTAAGTAATCGTCAAAATAAATGGACATTTATAATCACTACTGACGATGTTGATGATAATCAACAAAATAGTATTGAAGATACAACATTAATGATTGATATGTCACCAGAAACGAAAGAAAAATTAAGTATTTCCGATGTATTTCTTATACATAATCAATCAAATAGACGACAATGTTTATTATACAAAATGAATGATTATATTCAATCAGATATTCTATATGTAATAAATAAAAGTATACAAAATATATTTGATTCATCAACAATTCATTCATATCAGAATGGTACTTTAAGTAAACGAATTCAAACAAAAAATCGTTTAATGTCCGATATAAAGGTAATCAATTTTTTTCTTGGGAAAAATCAATAAAACAAATGATAATATTTTACTAAATTCTAAACATATTTAATTAGATTTCATTAGATTCAAGTAATTTTGGTCAAGATTGTAATACTTATGTTGTAAAAAGTTTATTTCGTCATCGTACAAATGATATTTTGGATGAACAAAAAGGAATCGTACAGATTAATGATAAACAAGGTGTTCAATATGAAATACATACACAAACACATGGTACATGGAATGTATTCAAAGGTCTATTGACCGATGGTCGTAATGGTCCATTTATACCGGATATTGTTGATTATAAAAATCGACCATTAAAAATTGGTATTGTACATCAACCACCATATGTACAGATAACAATGGTAAACGGTACACAAGATATTAAAGGAACAAATTATGAAATGATTTTAGTTATTGCAGCTAAAATGAATTTTACACCTGTTTATACTGTATATGATACATTAGGATCATTACAACTACCGAATGAATCGGGTACAAGTTTAATACAAAAAGTTAGTGATGGTGAAGTTGAAATTGGTGCAAATGGTTATTGGAAAACATTGGATCGTTTGAAAATTGCCGATTTTACCTATCCATACGATATGGAAGATATTAGTATTGTTGTGAAAAAAACTGATGAAGATCATCGATTTTTATTTCTAGCACCATTTGCATGGGATGTAAGTTTGTTTTTTGTTTCGTTTTTTTTTTGTTTTAAAATTATAAAAATCTATTTTGACTTTTTGGACAGGCATGGATATGTTTATTAATGATTGTCCTGATGATTGGACCAACACTTTGGCTTGTACATCATTCAAGTCGTTATTATGAATATTATAAACTAAATAATGGACGTGGTCTTTTTAAATTAGGAAATTGTGTTTGGTATTGTTATGGTGCATTAGTTAATCAAGGTGGTGATTATTTACCATTAGCTATTTCGGGTAGAATTTTAGTTGCATTTTGGTGGTTATTTGTTATTGTTATCTATACAACTTATAGTGGAAATTTAGTTGCATTGCTTACATTTCCAAAAATTTTTAATCCAATTGAAAATCTAAATGATCTTTTAGCACAAAAACATGTTGTTAAATATGGTGTATTTAAAACACGTGGTGTAGCTGATTTAATACTTGATTCACCGGAAAATCGTATACAAATGTTGGCCGATAATTTAGAATATTTTGAAGAATCTGAAATACAAACAGCATTTAATTTGATAAAAGAATCAAAATTAGTATTATTAGTACCGGATCAAGAAGCAAAACATTTAATATCATTAGAATATAAACAAACAAATTATCAGGATTGTCGTTTTCGTATAGCAAAAGAACCATTTACAACTAAACCAGTTTCATTTATATTTAGAAAAAATTCATTAGAAGATAATTTTGTACAACGTCTTAATCATGAGTAAGTTTTGTTTTATTTTATTTTTTTGGGGGATTTTCATTGAATAATCTTTTCAATCAATCAATTTAAATAAACAATTTAGAATGGGTCGTATGGCTAAATCTGGATTAGTTATATTATGGAATCGTAAATATAATGTTAAAGGTAATAATTGTCTTTATCCATTAGTAATGCGTAATTCACAAGGTAAAGAAATACAATTATCACATATGACCGATTGTTTCTTCTTGTTGGGATGTGGTTTAATCATTGGTATCTTTGTATTGATCATTGAAATGATTAAACAAAAACAATTACCATTGATTATAAAACAAAATAATGAATTGAATTCAAAATCAAAAGAATCCCTGATGAATAAAATAAATATGAAAAAATTCCATTCATTAATACAAAAAATAAAAAATGGTTTTCGTTATGGATTCTATGAAAATCTTGATCGACCTAAACAACAACAACAACAACAAAAATCATTACAATCATCAGCTAATGATGATCCAAGAATGTTGATTCAAAAATCAATTAATGGCCGACCAGCATATTTTACCTATAATACTAATTATTATCAACAACAACAACAACAAAATAATATTATTCGTGATCCATTTAATCCTAATCTAAATGGTAATGGTGGTAGTAGTGATTCAACATCATCATATCGTAAAGAATGGAATAAAGCATTTCGTCGACAACAAAAATTATATTATTTTCAAAAAAATTTAGATAACCTTCCGAAAAGAAATCCAATGTCATATTCAAGACAAAAACAACAACAATTACAACAACAACAACAAAAATATTGATTGAATTTTAATGTAACCAAAAAATTAATTAGAAAAATGAATGTAATGACAAATACAAAATTATAATTAAAAAATGTTAGTTAAAGAAAAATTATAATAAACGGTAAAAAAAATATTATTATTGAATATTGATTATTGATTGATAATCGATCGATCGTTTCCTATGAAAATCTATAATAATTTTCCAAGTCTGAATGTGACCGAAAAAACAAACGAAAAAGACAAAATTCCAATGTTAAAATCTATCGATTGTTCTCGAATCGAATCAATTTAGAAAAAAAAGTTTTCAAATATCATACAGAAACATTGACATACATTGGTTGACAATCGAAATGATAATGATTGTCAAATATAACTTTGAATAACAACAAAAATGTTTGCAAATAAATGGATACTTTTGATATTGTTTATATTGAAAATTGATACATCGCAAACGAATCGATTTAAAATTGGTAAATCAAATTTTGAATCTTGAAAATTTTTTTGAATCTTTCTTTTTCTTTCATTTGAATCTTTTTTTTTAGTTATCATCAGTGATGATGTACAAAATAATCGTACACGTTCAAGTATTGAAGGATTAAAATCAGCAAATGTAGATTTTGATACGGAAATTATTGAATTATCATCATCCATTATGAATGATGGTCAATTATGTGAAAGATTATTTAGTACATCATCTCAATCACAATCGGTTTATTATCGATTACCAATATTTGGTTTGGATTTAAGTGAATCGATTACGGCTAAAATAATGGCAAGAAAAATGGGTATACCAAGTTTACGTGCCGGTACTTGGGCACAATCACAACAGGATAATTTAGCATGGAAAAATTTGAATGAAATTGAAGAAAATCTTTATGTTTCAGTACTTACACCTGAAGCAACTATATTACAATTGATTAAAGATTTATCCGAACAATTTCAATTAAAACATATTGTTATTATTTATGATCAAACATTTAGTAAGTGTGATAATGATAATTAGTTATTTATTTATTTTTACATTTTATTTGATATTTACAATAAAGAAAAAGCTGTTGGTGGTCATATTTTCAAAAATCTTAAACATAAAGAAATCTATTGGTCATCAATGATCAATAATCGTACGATTGAAAAAACATTGGATGATTTAAAATATAATCATCAATATGGTGAAACATTTTTTATACTTGGTTCGATTTCAATGTTAAATCGTCTTGTGGAAATGGTTTGTGTTTTTGTTGAAGATTTTCGATTCATTCTGTTAAATTCTTATCATTTTTCATTAATCGCATTAAGGCTCATCAACGATCATTATTACGTGGACAACGAAAATGGTATTTCATATCAAAGGTAATACCGATTAATCAAATGAATTGATTCAAATAATAAATTTGATTATGATAATCAGGAAAAAGGTCGATTTCAATGTAATGATTGTAATAATGTAAAAGTTTATCTTTCACAACCAATCAAATCACATTTACATCATTATGAATATAATACACCGGAAAATCTAACAGCCGATAGTTATCATATTGTTGATAATTATTTCTATTATGATTTATCAAGATTTTATGTTGAAACTATTGATCATATGCTGAATAATAATAATCAACAATCATTATTGAATGAAATTACCTATCCTACATGTGGTAAACATTTAACTGAACCACAATTAAATGAACGTCGAAATTTTAAACTATATGAAACATTTACAACAAGATTTATGTATGGATTATTTGGACAATTTATATTTGATCGTAATTCAAAACTTAATTATCAAGAATTAAGTATGCGAATCAATGAAATTGAATTTTCAATGGGTAAAGTAAAACAAGTGAAAAAAATTGCCGAATGGGAATTTGAAGGACAATTTGGACGTTTATATTTTACATCACCACAAGAACGAAAAGAACAGGAAGGATTACCACATTATGAGATTGTAACACTTATTGTAAGTTTCTTTTTATCCAAAATGAAATTGACTAAATAGTAGTTGCTATGTTTTTTTTGTATTAGGAAGCACCATTTATAATGATGAAAGATGATAATCAAACAACAGGAAATGATAGATTCTATGGTTATTGTATTGATTTGATGAAAGAAATTGTTAATAGTAGTGATTTTAAATTTGATTATACATTACGTGTAGTGGATGATGCAATGTATGGACATAAAAATGAAAATGGTGAATGGACCGGTTTGATCGGTGAATTACATAGTAAAAGAGCCGATATAGCATTAGCACCGATATCGGTAATGGCTGAACGTGAAATTGTTGTCGATTTTACCGTACCATATTATGATTTAGTTGGTATAACAATATTGATGAAAAAAACTACAACTAAATCACATTTATTTAAATTTTTAACCGTACTTGAAACAAAAGTTTGGCTATGTATTTTGGCTGCATATTTTTTCACCAGGTTAGATTTTTGTATTTCGGGAAAGAAATTTCAATCCAATCATTTATTTTTTGCTTTTGTTGTTTACAGTTTTTTAATGTATCTATTCGATCGGCTTAGTCCATATAGTTTTCATAATAATCGTGAAAAATATAAAAATGATGAAGAACAACGTGAATTTACATTGAAAGAATGTTTATGGTTTTGTATGACATCGCTGACACCACAAGGTGGCGGTGAAGCACCAAGAAATCTTTCCGGACGATTAGTTGCCGCAACTTGGTGGTTATTTGGATTTATCATTATCGCTTCGTATACGGCTAATTTGGCTGCATTTCTTACCGTATCACGATTAGATTCACCGATTGAAAATCTTGATGATTTAGCTCGACAATATAAAATAAAATATGCACCACAATCAGGAACAGCAACATCAACTTATTTCGAACGAATGGCCGGAATTGAAGAAAAATTTTATGAGTATTATTATCATTAGAATTTGTTTAAAAATTTCTCTAATTCTTTGTTTGCCTGTGTTTGAATTTAGAATATGGAAGGATATGTCATTGAATGATAGTCTTAGCGATGATGAGCGTGCAAAATTGGCTGTATGGGATTATCCAGTTAGTGATAAATATACAAAAATTTGGTCACAGATAATCGAAGCAGGTATGCCAACAACATTTGCCGAAGGTATTGAACGTGTAAAACGAAGCGATCCAGCTGGTGAATCATTTGCTTTTATAGGTAAGTTTTTATTGACTTGATTATGGAAATTTTTTAATTTTCAAAATTCATTCAAAGCTGAATCAACATTGGTTAAATATGCTGTCATGACCAATTGTGAATTACAAAGTGTTGGCAATGAATTTAGTCGTAAACCGATTGCATTGGCCGTTCAACAGAATTCCGATTTAAAAGATAAATTAAGTAGCGCCATATTGAAACTATTGAATCAAAGACGATTAGAAAATCTGAAAGAAAGTTGGTGGAATAATAATGATGCAGTGAAAAAAGAATGTCAAGATTCACGAAGACAAAGTGATGGTATCAGTATTAATAATATTGGCGGTGTATTCATTGTTATATTTATTGGTGTTATATTGGCATGTATTTCATTGGTTATTGAATATTGGTATTTTAAGAAAAAAGAATCCAAAGTCATAACGATTAATGAAGGAAAAAAATCCAAACATTTTGGTAATAGTGCTGTACCGGATTTAAGCGCCGATTTTAATATTAATCAAGAACGAATGATGAGACAATTAAGATCGACACGTAATTTTAATAGTAATTTCATTCATCATCATTATTAAATTATTTACTGGAAATTTCACAATTGAAATTTAATTGTAGATTTTAGATATTATAGATTAGAATAATAATAATAATAATTTATTAAAATTCAATTCAAAACTATTGACTATTGATTAATTGAACATTGTTGGAATGATGTTGTTGATGATGATGATTAAAAGCGATAATTTCATTATCAACATTTTTCAATAACCAATTATGTTCACAGATTTCTAATGCTTCCCATTCAGCTTTAAATGCTTGTTTTGAATCGGCTGGCATTGACATTGCTGCACCGAACATTTGATCTTGCATTATTCTACTTTGATCGGCAGCATTATTTTCACCCAAGACTAGCATATAGATTGAACGTAAACCGAAAACATTTAGAAAATACCATGATGCTGATGATACCCATGATGCATCTAATGATAATAGTTCAATACCACGTTGTAACATTGGTTTAAAACGTAATGTTAATGGAAATGGAACTTTGGTCGTAACAAAACCCGAAAATGTCCAATTAATCCAACCACCAATCAATATCATAGGCAATACATTTGTTATGTTTCCTTTTAACATATCGGTCATCATTGATGGATCGGTCATTGGATTTGGTGGTGCTGAATTTCTTTTCTGTCCTTCTTTGAAATAGCCATTATCTTCATTGTTGAAGAAATGTTTTCGCATTAAGAATGACTAATTAAATTAAATAAATTATTTCAATATTTGATGATTAATCCTTTGCATTCATTAACTTACCTGTTTAGGAATATATTTACCATTTTCTCTTAATAATCGACTACGAATCATTGCTTGACTATCGACCACTTGCTGTAATTCAATTTTTTTATTCGAATGAAGCAATATTGAAACATAATGACGTAAAATACCAACAAAAAATGTAATGATAACAATGGGTAAAAATACCCATACCCGAATATCGGGATCAAGTAAAAGATCATCGGACATATTTTTTGGTTTTTCTAGTTTGTTTGAGTTTTTAATATTTTCAAAACACCGAACGATGATGATGATGAAGAAAATAAATAAATGATCCTCAAGGTAGAACCGAATCGGTCGAAATAGCCGAATTTGCCAACTTGTCAATTTGAATTTTTAAATTTTTAAACAAAAAAGTTTGTTTCAAGAAAAAATAATCAAACAAGAATTTATTTTCAATCAAATCAAATGTTTAACAATTGACAACAACAAAGAAAGAACAACAAAAAAAAATCACACAAAAAGACAAACACAGAGATAAATAGAGTAAAGAAAGAAACGAAAACATCATCATCATCATCAAAACATTTTTGCAACAATATTTTGTGGACAAATCAAATCAAAAAAGAATTCATCATTATTTTGGTGATTTGGATTTCGAAAAAACATTATGCAATTTATGGTTAATGTTAGTGTGTGTGTGTGTGTTGATGATTGTGAAAATAATAAAAATGAGTGAAACATTGAAATGTGTGTGTGTGTGTATTTGTTGTGTGCCGAAAAAATTTCATTCAATTCGGTTCCATAATGCCGGTAGTCGTTTCAACTGTTTGCAACCAATTCAATACAAATTTTTCCTTATCTTTTTTCGTAAATGATTTTATATCATTTTGTTGTTCATAATTAACAACATTGATTAATATGTCACCGGTTGTATATTCTTCCGCAGGAAAATCATTATTAATCATCATTTTAATCGGTTTCATAACAATATCCGAACTAATTTCATCAATATTTATCAATTCATTTTCGGTTAATGTTTCATTCATTGTATTACCCAATACTTTAATAAATTCATTCAATCTTTGTTTAATAGCATCATTTAAAATTTTACGATTCATTGATTTAGCCAAATCAATATCGGAAAATATTAATGATGTTGAATTGAGCTGACGAAATGATTGTGCCTGTGATGGTGATGGTAATTGTGATGATGAATGTATTGTATCACCACAAATAGCCAATGTTGAACAAGAATATGTTATATAATCTTTTATACATTGTTTATCATTCATATTAATAAAACGATAATAATCATTTAGATTACAATCGGATAAATATTTTCGATTATTATTAATATTATTATTATTATTGATCATTGGTGATGAACACCATGGTTGTTGTTGATTATCTGACCATATTTGACCACCACCACCATTGCTCATTGTTGTCATTAAAATATCGGTAGTAGAAAAACTTTTCATACGAAACCATCGATAACTATCGATTATTTGTGTATAACATTTTAATTTATCTTGATTATAATTATCATCAAAAAAATCTTTTATATCAATCATTGAACCTGATTTTGTTTGTTTTATCATTTGATTATTATTACCATCACCATCATTATAATTATTATCATTCATAATTATAAATGATGATGATGATGGTGATGGTGAAATTCTTTTCGACGATGTTGATGTTGTAGAAGATTCTTGTCCAGGTATCTGTAATTGAGCACATTTTTGTGTTGATTTTATGGCAGTCATTGATGATGATGATGATGATTGATTTATAATATTGCTATTTGTTTGTTGTTGTTTTGGTAACATTTTTTCAATACTTTTCTTCAAAATCCATTTAATTTTCCAGAAAAATTATTGTTGTTGTTATTTTGATATTTTGTATCAAATTTTACAATTTTGTATTTAGGTTGAATGTAAATAAATAAAATAAATAACTAAATCAACCAATTAAATAATGCCGAAAATTGATGGTCCATCTCTCTCAATGTTTCTATATAATCATTATTATCATTTATGATCATGATCATCATCAGAAGTAAAAAGAATCTTTAGGTCCTAGCATATGAGGCCTATGACACCCTATGGTTGGTTTGTGTGTGTTTAGCAAAAACAACAACAGCGAATTCCTTTCTTTTTTTTTAACATTCGAAATATTTTCATATATATAACACACTCACATCTATCTCGAGAGAGAGAAAGAATCCTAACGATATATAATCATCATCGAATGAATTTTGTTTGTAAAGATTTTTTACTGTGTTTGTTTGTTTGTTTGCACAATCGCATAGTGTTTATTTCGAAAGAAACAAAAAAAAAAAAAATTCAATTTGTCTTCCATCAACAACGATTACAATGATTACCTGTCAATCAAATCAAAATGTTTTTTTTTCTTTGTCTTCGGAAAGAAAAAAAAACATATATTTCCATTTTACTAATAAATGATTGATCGATAATGATAACAGTTTATTTGCTGGTTATCATCAAACAAAACTAAATGGATTATATTTGTTTTAGATAGCGAAAGATTAGATCAATAATAATGTTGTTTGACAAATAATTTGGTATCTATCGATCAATATCTATGTTGTTGTTGTTTTTTTCTCTCATTTAATCCTGTTGAAATGATGATGATGATGATGATATATAAAAGAAAGCTGGTATAGCTGATCTAGGATTTTCATTAATTTTGTTTTTTGTTTTTTTAAAACTTTTTTTTAAACAGGTAAAACATGTCATTTTTGAATAATCTAAATGATTATATGAAAAAATATCCAAATAAACAACCGGATATTCAACAACAATATGGTACGGCTGGTTTTCGAAACAAGTAAGTTTAATGTGATGAAATGATATGATTGAAATTTTTTTCTTTAAAAATTCAAAAATATATTCAATCAAATAGAGCTGATACATTGTATCATGTAACCTATCGTGCCGGTATTTTGGCTGCATTACGTTCAAGATTAACTGATAGTATTATTGGTGTAATGATTACTGCATCACATAATCCGGAAGATGATAATGGTCTAAAAATTATCGAACCAGATGGATCAATGTTAATACAATCATGGGAAAATTTAGCAACAAAAATTGCCAATGTTTCGGATGATAATCTTGAACAATGTATTGTTGATATGATTAAAGAATTGAATATCAATATGAAAGATACAATGGCTAAAGTTTATCTGGCTCGTGATACAAGAATGAGTGGCGTATCATTAAGTATGGCATTAATTGATGGAATTAAAACTTGTTATGGTGAATATAAAGATTTTGGTTTGCTTACAACACCACAATTACATTATATTGTACGATGTGCAAATTCGAATGGTCAATATGGTGAACCAAATGAACAAGGTTATTATAAAAAACTAAGTAATGCATTTCTTCGAATGACTGAAAATTCGACAAAAAAATTAAATGTTATTATTGATTGTGCTAATGGTGTTGGGGCAAATAAAATGATATTAATGGCACAATATTTGACCGAAAAAATTACATTCGATTTGGTCAACATTGGTGATGGTATACTAAATCATGGTTGTGGTGCTGATTTTGTTAAAGTTAATCAACGACAACCAGATTCAATTGAACTAAAATCCAATCAACATTATGCATCATTTGATGGTGATGCTGATCGAATTGTTTTCTATTATTTAAACGATCAAGATAATAAATTTCATCTATTAGATGGTGATAAAATTGCTGTTTTAGTTGCAAAATTTTTGAAACAATTATTGAATGCAGCCAATTTGAATGAAATTGAAATTATGGTCGTACAAACAGCATATGCAAATGGAAATTCAACAAAATATATTCAAGATACACTTCAATTGATCAGTGATTGTGTACCGACTGGTGTTAAACATTTACATCATCGTGCATTACAATCCGAAATCGGTATCTATTTTGAAGCTAATGGTCATGGTACGATTCTATTTTCATCGAATGTACAGAAACGAATCGCTGAATGTACAAATGAAAATGCAAAAAAACTTTTACATTTTATTGATTTAGTCAATCAGGTATGGTTAATCCAAATTCAGAAACTGAAATATTTATTTATTTATCAATTTTCTTGAATAATTAGACTGTCGGTGATGCAATATCTGATATGTTGGTTGTCGAAGCAATTTTAGACATTTTAAATATTACCATTGATGAATGGGATTCATTTTATCAGGATTTACCGAATAAATTACTTAAAGTTGCTGTTAAAGATCGTAATGTAATTACAACAACAGATGCTGAACGTAAATGCGTTGAACCGAAAGGATTACAATCGGCAATTGATAAGGTGGTGGCTGAATTTGGTCCACAAGCACGATCATTTATACGACCATCCGGTACTGAAGATGTTGTTCGAATCTATGCCGAAGCTCAAACAAAAGAATTGGCCGATAATTTAGCAAGAAAAGTTGGTAATTTAGTTTATGATTTCGCTGATGGAATTGGCTCAAAATTTTGAATCTTTTACAAATTTATTATGAATAAAGCAATCAATTTTGTTTACAAATATCATTATTTATTTATTGATTTTTTTGAAAATCAACCGAATAACCACCGGTTTCGGGATTTTTTACAAGTTTAAAATTATCTGTTGAAAGACCGAATGGTTTGAGAACAACATTGCCTAAATCTTTTAGTTTGGAAAGCATTTCGGCTTTTAATTTTTCATTTCGTTCATCTATTTGACATTGTAATTCATGAATGATTGGTAATATACTTTTATCATCGGGATTAAGCTCAACAAAACGTTTATAATCGGCCATACTTTCATCTAGTTTATCTAGTTTTCGATAAAGTTGAGCACGTCGAATAATAGCTTTTGAATGTGAATCATTAATGGCCAATGCTTTATCACAATATTCAATTGCTTCATCATAAAGTTGTAAATGATCTTTGGCTGCTGCCAAATTTGAATATAAAATTACTATCGTTTGTCGATCATTATCATTATCATTATTATCATCATTTTGTTCCGTACAAAGATCTAATGAATCCAGATAAAATCGAATCGATTTTTCATAATTACCAAGTTTAAATTGTTGATTACCTTCCAATTTTAAATCGATAATTTTCTGCTTTCTATCCGGATCTTCGTTAGCAATTTCAGTCCACGATGATTCATGTTTTGATTCAATTTGATCGGTCATTTTTTTCTGTTTGTTTGTTTAAAACGTTATCTTCAAAATCAAAAGAAATGATTCATTTAAAATGTCATTCAAAAATGAGAAGAAAAAAAATAATGAAAAATTTTTGCATGCATGCAATCAAAACAATTCAAAATAGTCAACGACACTTTAGAGTGTAAATAGTCGAATGTTTTATATGTGTGAAAACAGAATCGAATTTCGCGGTTTCGAATGTTTAAAAAAAAAAATCAATAACGCTGACAACTCGGAACTTGAACAATGAGACAATATTTTTGTTGTTATCCGATATTTCAACAATTGATTTATCTATGACCCGTAAATGAATATCAAAAAAATGAATTGACCCGATATTTATTACCACCGATTTCTTGAACATATCAAATGACGACAACAAACCAAAATATTCGACCAAAGTCAGCAAAAATAATTATGATCAATGATGATGATCCACATATGTGTCCAAATGAATGACCATTTAGACCTGTCATTTAAGAATAATTTCCTAGAATAAGAAAGCTAAGTAAATGTTTGTTTGTAATAATAATTATTTTATTTTTTGCCAATTGATTATATAGCAACACACCAACATCGTCTCGAAGAAACAAAAAAAAACAAAAAACAAATTTATTACGCACCGTTATTTTACTATTGATTTATTTATATTTGTTTGTCATAATGTGAATAAATATTTTAAAATATTATAAATTTGAAAAGTTATTCTTTCCACCATCATACCATATGTCTCCACAGAAAAAAAAAGTTTTCCAACCCAATGAAATGAAGATAAACTGTCAAATTATTTATCATTTTTTCCCCGGTTTTGTTTGTGTAAGTAAAGTTGTCAAATTTTTTCCCGTTGATTTAAAGATTCCATATCATTTTCTTCCTCCTCATCATCATCATTCATAAAATGTCTTCATTTATAAATGTGAAATCTTTTTTTGTAAACTGTTTTCATTCCTCGTCAATCAAAATGTGTATTAATTACGGGTAAGAAGCGAAAAACAGTTTAAAAAATCCAATTTAACAATTATCATTTGCTTAAATTAATTGATCTGTCATCGATGATGATGATGATGATGATGTTAATTTTCATAATGTCAAAAAAAACCCAAGGCAGAAAATTTGTATGAGAATTTTTCAGTGTTTTTTTTTTAATTTCAATTTGATGGTTATCAGTTCAACAACAACATTATCATCATTGTAATAACAATAATTCAAAATGAAAAAAGAAAGAATCTCGGTAAAGAAGAAAAAGACGAAGGAAAAATTGCTGACAAAGATTTTTTGCTTTAAAATGATACTCAGGCTATTTTTGGCCACTATGGATTTTTGTATGTGTTTATCGTTGAAAAACAAAAACAAACGCCTGAATCAAGATTGGTGACACATTTCCGGCGATATGATCATCATCATCATCATCAAAAAGAATGGTAAATACAATGTTATCATCATATTATCAATTCACACTGTGATTGATTTTGATGCACAGAAAAAAATTCTTGTGAAAACAAACAATTAAAATATCATGTACATCATCATTATCAACCCAAAATAACACATCATTTCATCTTTTGTTTGTTTGTTTGTTTGTTTTTCATTCGGTGAGCTCATTAAATGAATGAAAAGTTTTCCATTTCATCTCATTCCAGAACAAAATCAAAAATATCATTGTGTGTCTCGACGACATGTCACCATCACCATCATTTATATTATCACCACATACGAATCATGAAGAATTTTTTCGCTCCCTCAAAAACATCAAATGAACAAATCTTTGTCATTGTTAACTGTAAGTTAATTTGAATTTTATTTGTTTTTGTTTTTTGAAATGAAAAATTTTAATTTTCACATTCTTGGATGATATTGATGATGATGATGACGCTAATAAGGCAGACAAATGAGAGAATCATCATCATCATCATGATGCTTATTAGGCTTATAATAATGTTTTTGTTTCTGTTGATTTGTTGTTTCTAATAATGATGATGATGCTGTTGATGATAATGATGATAATGGTGGTGGTAGAAAAACAAAACAAAACACGTGTATAGTGTTGATGATTTTTATTTGTGTGAAAAAGGCGTTTTCATTATCAACATAACGGTAAGTGTTATTGGCTAATTTCTTCTCTTCCTTTCTCTCTCTCTCTTTCATTGCATGTATGTGAATTATGAACCTTATAAGCACCGCCTTCATAGGCGTATAGATTTTCTATCTTGTTTTCTTTTTTTAACACTATCGTCATCTTGAAAGTCGGTAAATTTTATTCCCAAATCCATATTGATCATAATGTTTTTTTTTCGAGTGAATGATGTTTGATTTGTTTAATTGTTTGTAATTGCTGTTCGTTTGTTTGATTGGAAATGTGTTTATTAATTTGTTTGAAAAAATTTGTGAAAAATTAAATATTATTTTACCAAAATGAACATTGAAAATCGTCATCATTCACCTGCATCATCATCATCATCATCATCAACAACATCATCGTCAATATCGACACCGGTCAATAGTGAAAATCATCCATTTAGTATTGATCGTTTATTGGAACAAAATCATCATCATCATCAACAACAATCATCATTGTTGACGAAATCAACAAATATGAAACAACCACAACAACAACGAACTACACTTTTCGATACAAATTTTCTTCATCAAACATCATCATTTTGTCATCGAAATCGAACATATTTATCGGATGATGAAATTAACAATAATAATAATAATCAATTGATCAAATTGAATTCGAATCAATTACAGCTATCAATGCCATCATTAACATGGCTTAATTCTCAATTGATCAAACAACATCAGCAACAACAACAACAACAACAACATCATCATTCATTTATGAATCCAAACAGTAAGTAGTTTTGACCAATCATATTTACACCCGGTTTTTTTTAATACTTGATCATTCGAGTTCTGGGTCTATAGATTCAAATAGATATTACAAATCAATATTATCAAATTTTTTGATAAGATAATTTAGAAAAAATTCAAAGCCAAATTGATAATTATTATTATCATCAAACAATTATTGTTCATTGCCGAATCTTTTCAATGACAATAAAATTTGGATTGATGATTCGTGTCTGATGACTATAAAAAACAAACAAACACAAAACAAAACAAATTCAATGAATTAGGATAAATCGGCAGATTTTTTTTTCTTATTTCCAAAACCAAAATATATTTTCGGTGATATGTCATTAAATAATTAATATAAATTCATTGTGTTTTTGTGTGTATGTTCAAATAAGTTTGTTTAATTCCATTCGCGTGACTTTTTGATCAATTTGATTTTGTTGGTGGTTGAATTGATGTTGAACACACACACAAACACCAAACTTATGATTAAAACCTAGACACTGTAATTTTATTATTATTATTATTATTTCATCAAAATGGGCAGATGTATTCGCGAAATCAAATTGTAATCAAGCGAGTCCCTATATTAGATCGATTTATAGGCAGATTTTTTTATTTATAAAAATCATTTTTTTTTCGAGGTTTTTTTCTCATATTACTGTTTTGTTTTGTTTTTTTTGTGTAATTAGCGATAATAACTTAATTATTGTTCAGTTTATCCTAGCTTATAGCTTCTTCTGATAATTTAATGTTTTTTTATATTGAGTGTTAATCGAACCATTAGGTTGATGGTGGTGGTGGTGGTGGTGGATTAATTGCATGTGGCAATCAATGAATATTTGAAAATAAAAAATTTCCCTAATTGCATGAATAAATCATCTCAAATTTGATTAATTTTTTTTTAATTTTTTTCCAACCAACAACTCTGAAAAAAGGTCCGGTTAAATGTCAACTAAGACGTCATAAATCGAATCGTAAACCACGAACACCATTTACAACACAACAATTATTAGCATTGGAGAAAAAATTTCATCATAAACAATATCTATCTATTGCTGAACGTGCTGAATTTTCCAGGTATGAATGGATAACATGAAACCATAGGAACTTTGTTAATTTGAAAAAAATATATTCTGTTTTTCTTTGTGTGTTTATAGTTCATTAAGTTTGACCGAAACACAGGTAAAAATTTGGTTTCAGGTAAAAATAAAAAGTAAAAAACTGTTTGTTTTCGAAAAAAATTAACAATTTTCTAATTCAATAGAATCGTAGAGCAAAAGAAAAACGATTGAAAGAAGCAGAGATTGAAAAATTACGTATAAATTCTCGTTCATTATTACATTTAACATCATCATCATCATCATTTGGAGCCGGAATTTTACACCCGTCTTTGATTCCAAATAATACACGAATGTTTAATTCTTTAACGGCAGGATCATCATCACAACAACCACAATCATCGGCCGATTTAATTAAACAATTAGCATTATTTAATCATCATCATCACCAACAACAACAACAACAACAACATGCAAATCATCTAATGATGATGACCAATCAATTTGACAATAGCAATAAAAATAATTTAGAAAATTTAGTAATCAAATAATCATTCATTCTTTTTTTTCTTATACAATATTATTATTTAGAGATTTTTTTTTAAATAAATAAATTTTGATTTTTTAAAAATTTTAGAAAATTCTTTTGGTAACGTACTCTATGTACGTAATTTGTTTTATGTTTTTATTCTGCATGCAGAAATCCATGGATTTTCATGCATGAATTCAGAGTGTGTGAATTTGATGTTTGTCAAGCGATTTTTTGTTTTACAACGGAAAAAAAACCAAACAAAAACAAATTATGAATCCAACGGAAGAAAATCCCATTCAAACAACAAGTGGTAGTAGCAATAATAATAATAATTTGGATAATCCTTCAATCATTAATTATGTCGATGATGATGATGATGAAAAGCCTGGAACAACAACAACTACAAACGAACAACAATCATTCATTTGTGATGGTGGTAATAATGCTGATGATGAAGAATTTATAATTCATTTGCAATTTGATGAAGATTCACACCCGTTATTACGTTATAATGTTGATGATTGTAAAATAATGGGTATTCATAATGAAAAATTATTAATTCGTATTGGTGATTCATTTTTTTTCGGTAATATTGATCCTCAACAACAACAACAAACATCAATATTATTTGCATATGAACCACAACATAAATTTATACAAGAAATACATAAAAGTTTTACAAAAATTCAAATGAAACGTGTTTTATTAAAACCAAAAACAACTAATGAAAAACAACAACAACAATCATTATCGAATGAAATGGACACGTCAGCTGATTGATTAAAAATTCGATTTTTCTTTTGCTCTAAATTTATCAAATTTATCAAATCTACTTCATCATTATTTTGTTATGTAATTATCTTTAAGAAAAACTTGAAATTGATTGAGAAAAAGAAAATCTTGCTGATGTGGCCAACGACACTCACACACACCGCATAAACATTGTGGAGAAATTGTTGTTTGACAAGTTTTTTCTTATTCTCCTGGACAATGTTCATTGTTATTTGATAATAAGAATTATTCGTTTGTTTTTTTTTTGGCCAAAGATTCTTTTCTTTTTTTGTTATTGCGTCACAATGAATGTCAATCGTTTTATATTCATTTCATTATTAATCGATTTATTGGCATTTACATTAATATTACCATTATTACCATCATTATTGGAATGTTTTGCTAAACAAGATACGGTATTTATTTCATTTGTTTTTTTCCGTTTGGTTTGATAATTTTGTTTTTGTTTTTTGTGTTTGACAGAGTGGTCTCTACAATTATGTGGATAATTTCATCAAATCAACACAACGATGGATCGGTGGACCACAAATGTTCAATAGATGTATGATTTGTGTGTTTAATTAAATGAATCGATTTTGATTTCTGTTTTTTCCCTTTTTTTTAAAAAAAAACAAAGCTTTATTCGGTGGTCTATTAGGTTCAATGTTTTCATTTTTACAATTTATTTCGATGCCTATTATTGGAATGCTATCAGATGTTTATGGTCGTCGTCCATTATATTTTCTATGTTTACTAGGAATTTCTGTATCTTATTTTTTCTGGTCAATATCTATCAATCATTTTGGTATTTTTGTATTGTTTCGTATATTGAATGGTTTATGTAAAGGAAATGTTAGTCTTTGTACAGCCATTATAACGGATAGTACTACTGAAGATAAACGTGGTAAAGGTTTTGCTACAATTGGTATTGCATTTTCAATCGGTTTTATTGTATGTATTGTTTTTTTCTTTCAAATTTTTAATTTAATGATAATTTGAAAATACACAAACTAAACAGGTTGGTCCATTGATTGGTGCAATTTTATCCAAATTACAATTACCATCACTAGATGGTGGCACATCAAATGATTCATGTTTTCAATTATTTCCACCGATATTTGCATTAATTTTATCTTTGATTAATTTAATTTTCTCGTATCATTATTTACCGGAAACATTATTACCATATAAACGAGTAAGTGTTGTTGTAGTTGTTGTTTTTGATGTTGATTAATTTTTTTCATAATTAACACCTCATCTCATCATCACATACAGACAACATCAATTTGTACAAGTCTTATCGATGCATTCCATTATATTAATCCATGGTCATTATTTTCATTTAAAATTGTTAAAAATTTAAATACCAAAGGTTTGATTGAATTTGATTTCAGAATGTTTCAGCTTTTTAACCTTTTTTTTTACCATTCGCACAGAAAAATCAATCCTTCGATATGGTGCCTTTGTTAATTTTTTCTTTTTATTCATTTATTCGGGATTGGAATTTACACTTACTTTTCTAACATTTGTTCGTTTTAATTTTTCCAGGTAATTTTTTTTTTGTTATTTTTGAAAAAAAATTCATTGATTCATTTCATTTTATTTATTTCGATTTATTTATCTAGCCTTGATCAAGGAAAATTATTTTTCTACATTGGTTTACAAATGTTTTTAATACAGGGTGTAATATTAAGACGTATCAATCATAATTATTATAATCATCTTTTATTATCTGGGATAATATTAGTAATACCTGCATTTATTATTGTTGGTTATTCAACAACATTAACTGGTCTTTATTTGGGTTTAATACCATATGCATATTCATCAGCAATTGTAATACCATCATTATCGACAACATTTTCATCATATGGTCATTCAAGTCAAAAAGGTATACTTTTAGGTATATTTCGTTCGATTGGTGCATTAGCAAGAGCATTTGGCCCGATGACAATGTCATTCAGTAAGTTTTAATCAATCACTCAAAGAATTCGTTTCAAACAAAATTTCTTTTTTTTTTCTTTTTTTTTATTCTTTTTTTCTCTCTCTCAAAAAATAAAATAGTATTCTGGAGATTTGGAATCGAAACTGCCTATACAATTGGAAGCATATTACTATTAATACCATTATATTTAGGTTATCAATATCATTTTAAATGTAAAACATATCGTTCTACATTTGAATAAGTGTTTTATGTGTGAATTGTGTTATGTTTGTATTTGTTATTTAAATTCAATTTCTTTGATTGGAATAAGATGAGATGAAGAAAACAAAAATCTAATTGTCAATTAAATGGATAATCTTTGTATAAAAAATGTGTTTGTACACAACCAATTCATTCGAGATTCTTCTTATTTTTGAACTAATGTTTTTTGATTGTTTGATTGTTTACCAAAAAAAAAATCACAAATTGCTTTTTTGTTTTGCTTGGTGTGTTGTTTGTTCGAGAATTGAAATAAAATCTTTGTTTGTTTGTTTGATTGATTGAATTAAACGAAATCTGGTTTTTTCACTATTGAGAAATTTACCATCTTTTCACTTTTCCGATTAATTTCTGGTTCGATTGAGTGTTTGAATGAAGAGAGCTCATTCATTCGAAAGAGGAAACAATCCGTTCGTTTAACCTCGTTTTTTCAATGCTTCGTTGATGATGATGATCATCATCATTTAATTTGTATTTCTCAAATTTGATATTCTCTGTGTGTGTGTGTGTGTGTTTGAATTAATTAACACTTTATCGATGCTTGTGCTTGTCATCGTTTGGTTACAACAACAACAACAACAAATAATCAACTGGAAAACATTAATATCCGGATGGCGGTATGGTGGTCCAATGGCGTACGTGTGTCGATTATCAACAACAACAACACGAGCATGTTTATTTTATATATTCAATTTACCAAATGACCAAAATCTTTACGAATGATTAGTGTTGTTGTTGTTGTTGTTAAAAGCAGCCGCCATCGATGGTGTGACCTCTTCTTGTTTCATCGTCGTCGTTTTTGTTTTTTTTGATCAAATCCGACAAACAGTACCGTTCATCATCAAATTATAGCTTCTTTTTTTCAACAATGATGATGATGATGAAAAATTTAATTGCTTTGAAAATCATCATCATCATCATCAAAATGGGATGAAATAGAAGATACCGCTCGATCATTTCATTCAAGTTAGAAAATTCTTGAAAATCAAAAGATTTCGGCAAAGAATTTTTCTTTGGGGTAATTAAATTTCGAAAAAAAATAAAATTTCATCTTTTAACGGCAACTTTTTTCGATGTTTCGTTGTTGTCCTGTCTTTGAAATTCTTGATCGTTTTTCTTTTCCCTTGTCGATGATCTCGCCGATGTGGATCAGGCAAAATATCAGGCTTTTAACGCGCGCGTTAAAGTAAACAAATGATGATGATGATGATGATGATGGTAGCAATAATGTAACAACAACAATTGTGTCATTGTATAAATTTGATGATGATGATGATGTTTAAATTAGTGAAATTTTCTTTCTTTTTTTTTAAATGAAAAATACATTTAAAACATTTTTTCTTTTCTTAAAAAAAACCATCAAAACTCATCATAATCATCATTGAATCGGAATAGTCGAGAAGAGTTGTTTTTAGTTTCCTATTTGAGTAGAATTAGAATCGAATGTTTGCAAATCGAACGATTCGAACGATACTATAGTTCGAATGATGATAATAATGATGATGATGATGATGATTATGGTTATGACGAACGTCGCGACGAATTAATGTCGAATTTTTACGATGATGAAGATCTTCATCATGTCTTGTTTGTCATCGATTCGATTCGATGGATGTATATTCCATTCCTTCTATCTTACTAATCATCATCAAGATTTTCGGAAATGTTCTTGTAAAACAACAACAACTACAACACAATCCGCTGTCATTGATCAACATCATCATTAAAAACAACAAAATACAAGTATGATGCCTGTCACAAGTATTTTTTTGATCGATTTATTTTCTCTTATTTGTTATAGATAGATGATCATCATCATCATCATGGCCCCCATCAAACAAAATTAGCTTCTGAAATTTTTTTTTCTCTGTAATGTTTGTGTTGTGATTTAAATGCATTTTCATCAGTCAGTCAGTCAGTCAATGAATATAATTGGCCTTTCCCTTTCATCATCATCATTTGAATTTTTATTTTTTTGTTTCATTCATTCATTTGAAAAAGCTCAAATTACAAATCAAGAAAATGTAAATCATCAGTTTTCCATCATTCAACTACATATATAAAACGATTTTATTTTTAAAACATTTTTTTTTATTTACATCACTATTTTATGCCACACAGAGAGAAAGAATCACATCCATAAAACACAAATTAGGAAATGTGTGAAAAAAAACATTTATCATCAAGCATTTAGCCAATGAAATAGTTTTGGAAATCTGGTTTCTGGTCAACAGAAAAATCAAATATAAAAAAAAACAAGAAAGATTTCAATAGTTCCATAAATGTATATACCGCACACATGGATTCGTAAACATTAGATATGTGTGATGGTGGTAATAGTTCCGACACATTTGGTTGTTTGTTTGAAACATGATCCAATTTTGTCGTCATTTTCTTTTTTCTTTTTTGACACGAATACATTAAGTAAGTATTTATAAGTTTTAAAAGCTATTGCTTGATGTCAATGTCATCATCATCATCATCATCAAAGAAATCGGCTAAAGTCAATCATATTGGAGAGAGAGAGACCCGAGGATTATGGAACTCGAAAATGGACCACCATCATCATTATGCTATTTTCTGCAAAAAAATTCTGGATTGGTTGGTTTTTTCCTGCTAAAAATTTTCTAAGAAGCAACAGAAAAAGCCAAGTTCCCCACAACAACAAACAAATGACAAATCAATTACCTTTTAAAAGCTTACTTGTCATCTCTTAAAGATTGTCATCATTGATGATGATGATGATGATGAGACAATTTTTTTGGTGATTTCTGTTTCTCCCTGGTAATTGAATATCAATGAAATAATCAAGGATGGTCACTGAAAAAAAAATTTGACTTGAACCACCTAACCACCATTTGATACCTTATCACCATTCTGATGATCATCAATAAACAGAATGTCATCAACGTTTTTTTTTCTCTCTCTCTTCTAAATATTCAAAATACCGACAATAACATGAACATCATCAAATCAAATACATAATGCATTATCGGTAATTAATTACTTTTGACTTTTTAAAATGTTTGCAGGTAAGTTTAGAAAAAGTCGATAATGTGATAATATGATGACAACTATATTCTTGAATTCAAAGAAAAAAATCAACAATTATTTCAACCATATTTGCTGTTATGACATTTCAATATAAAGTTGTTGACAAGCCTCTTTTTTATTTTTCATTTGGCCATTTGATGACTAAAGATAGGCATAGGAAAAAATTTCATTGATTTATGGAGTATACATCAGGTTGACACATTTGACCAAATCTGATCAAAATCTGAAATAAGAATGATAAGCAAGCAGAATGATTTTTTTTTCAGTTCAAAGATTACTTTACATTTTTTTCGATTCAAAAAATATGGAAAATCTATATGTTTAATGATAACAAAATCCTCATCATCATCATCATCGAAATACTCTCTTTTCACATTTTTTGTTGTTGTTGATGATTTATTAATTTTTCCAACCTGGGACTACTTTATCTCTATCTCTCTCGCGAAAATATTCAACCATATTTTAATGATAATGATTATTGGCGACAACAACATTTATCTATTTAATTCACAGTACAATTTCATTTTTTTTTTGTCAACAACAGCAACAACCTAATGTCATTTCAGATCAATTGATCATCAATCGATCTTATCTCTCGCTCTTGGTTCTGTAAATTTATTTCAAAGGTAAGCTAAACTTAACATGAGAAAGAGAAAGATAGAGATAGAAAAAAGTCAGTGGCAAATCTCCTTAATTGAACTAATCACATAATAATCATGATTTTTTGTTTTTTGTCCGTCATTTGATATGAATGTTTTTAATTTTCTCGCGTTTCTAATGTTTCATATTTTATTTTATTCGCAAATAAAGATGTCATTATCATTGGCTTAATGCGATAAGTTTTGTGTTTCTCAAAATTTCCAAGTCCATCACAAGATAATGATTTTTTGGCTTTTCAGGTAACTCTTTTAAATATTTTTTTATTTAAATTTTTTTTAAAAATTCCAAATTTTCCATTCAATTTAGTTAACCCTTGAGGATTCACTGAACATTGATTGATGCAGAAATTTAGTTCTCCCATTTATTGTACTTAAGCATCACACTCTTTACATCTTTTCTAGTCTTTGGTGATATGTCATATGCACACACGCACATCATCATCATCAGTATTTATCATTGATCAAACCATTTAATATCAAGTAAAGTAAAGAAAGAAGCATAACGAAACAAATTACAAGCAAAACTTGTCTGTTTCTGCTTCTTTTTTTTGTGTATGATTGGCGCAGATTTTAAATGGGCGCCCGCCTATTTTTTTCCTTTCCAATTTTGGCCTTCATATAAGTGTAGAGTGTATTCCCTACATTCAATATATGTGTGCTGATTTTTAAAAGCCGCCTACAATTTTGTTGTCAATAAGCATCTATGATCTTGTTTTTTTTTGTTTGTTGAAGAGGGATGTTAAGAAATATTATATGGATGAAGTGTGTGTGTTAACAATCACTCCCAAACTTAATGATTTCCAATTTGGATTTCGATATAATTGGTGTGTGTGTGTCTGTTGTGTAAACTGCGAAGAAAAGAAAAAAAATCAAATGACACGAATAATGATCATCAAATAAATTTGTTTCAAACATCGTGAAAGAATTTCATTTTTTTTATTTGCAAATCATCAGCATGATGCATGAACAACAACAACAACAACAGAATTTAAATCCATTTTCAATATCATCATTATTGAAACGTAAAGATGATGATGATGATGATGATCAAAGACAACAATTGATGACAAATGTTAATCATTCAATTCCGACGATCAATGAATCAACAACAACAACAACAACAACAACAACAATGGCATCATCTTCATCATCATTAATCAATTCTCCTGATAATGATAATAATTTCAATGTTGTTGCAATACAAGCTGCTGCTGAACAATTTTATTCAAATTTTAATTCATGGATTCATCATCATAATCATCATAATCTTCGAATGACAATACCAACAACGATTCCGGTGATGGTAAATCCTATTAATGATGATGATCATCATCATAATGATCAAACATCAACCACTGTTAATCTTTTTCATAATCGTCAACAAAATCTTTTGGATATGTATCATCAATATATGTTATCATCGTATAATAATCAAACAACAATAACAAAAATTATTACTAATAATGATCCTCGGTCAATGAGAAATTTTAATTTGTTAAGAAAATTTCATATTATCAATGAAAATCATTCTATTCGACAACAACAGCAGCCACCACAATCAGTCGAAAATGTTACCACAACAACAACAACAACAATGTCACCATCATCATCATCGTCATCATCAAAAGGTTTGAATTTCTTGAAAAAAATTAATTTTTTTTAATCGTTGATCGTAATGAATAGAACAAACCATTGATTTTAATCATCATCAAAATCATGAATCAATCATTCGACATTGTGGTGGTAAAATACGATCATTAGAATCATCAAATATTAATAATTGTAATCAAATGAATAAAAAATCCAAAAAGAAACGATCGAGAGCAGCATTTTCACATGCACAGGTTTATGAATTGGAAAAACGTTTTAATCATCAGAAATATTTAAGTGGACCGGAACGTTCTGAATTGGCACGAACATTGAAATTGACCGAAACACAGGTGAAAATATGGTAAGTTGATTGAATAAAAACGAATTGAATGTTTTAAATTTATTAAATTTTTAATTTGAAAAAAAGGTTTCAAAATCGTCGATATAAAACGAAACGAAAATTACAATCATCTTCCATACAATCACAACAACAGCGACAAAATGATTCATCATCAATAATGATAATGAGGAAAAAAGTATCAATCAATAATACGGATTCAAATGATTCACAAAATCTATTAATTAATGTTGATGATGATGATGCTATTAATGATAAAGATGATGATGATAATAATGACCAGAATATCCATGTTGACATTAATGATAACTTCCATAATATAATCGATGATGACAATGGTGAAGAAGAGGATGACGATAACAATGGTGATGATGATGATGATGATAATCAATTACGATTCACCAATCGAGCACTATTTTCACAATGGTTTTTATAATCAAAAAAAAAGAATTGTCAGTTTTTTTTCTCACACCCATACACACCAACTCAATCAATCAAATCAATTGATAATTTGTAAATCATTTATGGTGCTGTATGTATTCTAATTTCAATTAAAATAATAGAAATTTGATTGTGAAATAAATAAAAGTGTTTCGTGTTATTTATTTGAATGTTCTGTTTGGCACGTGTTTGTTTTTGTTGTTCAAAACATATGTTTAGATATAAGTAATGAATGTTGTTGGATTGAAATTGATTTGAATCGAAATAATTCTTTCTTTCTTTTGCTATCACGCTTAAAATCGATTCAGTATTCATCAATAAAATCTCTCTCTCTCTCTCTCTCTCTCTCTCTCTCTCTCTCTCTCTTCATCGAAATAAGATTT